GTTTTTTTCCAAACACTGTTCTGCTTTCATTTCTCTGAATTTCACCAATTCCTGGGTTTAGAATGATTCTTTAGGCTCATGCGCAGGGGCTCCAGCCCTTTGTTTAGCTAAAAATTCAAAATTTATCGATATTTTTGAGCTAAAAGATGTGATATATCGCATGCCACTTTGACCACTTCTTTTGATCTTGACGAATTCCGTTAATAGAAGAAAATTGCAAGAGGAAACTGATGAAAGCACTTGAGAACCTTCAAATTTTGCATCAACGGAGTTATAATCGTTTAAAGTTTCCACAAGTCCGAGCTCTCCTACTGACTGGATCCACCGTGCGCGTACGGTGCGATAGGATGCTGGGACACTCGGTATAATTAAAACTAATGGGCGCGGCCGCGAGAAACGAGAAGAACGAGCTAAAATAAGTTTTCGCATCGGCGGAAACCGAAATGCAACTCACGATGCGGCACGCGCCGCGAGGTCGCCTTCAAACACGTTGCCGATTAAATGCAATTAGGAGCTACAATTTCTGGCTCATCCGTAAAAACATATATATACAAAGGGAAGCTAATAGTACTTACGTTGTTTCATAACTGAGCCAAAAATTGTAGTCTCAAACTGCACAATGGACGTAAAACGGAACCAGAGTCAAGTCGGAAAGAAGGGGTGTGGTTGTTAGTCGAGGGCCGTAAGAATGAATGGGAATTATGAAGCGCCAGTGACGTCAGCGGCGAAGAGGCCCTCGCAGTTGTCGCTCGTCGTCCGCGATAACTCATGAGCCCTGTCCACAGCGCTCTTTTTTCATGTCCACGGCTCATGAGTGCCGCGTTCAGTTGGCGCTCAGTTCCATTTGGACGTAATTCTGTTAAACGGAACTAAGCGCCAATTTGAGTTCCTTTTGAGGATTTTAGAATCCCGGATAGCGCGTTCTATCAAACGGAACTAAGCGCCATGGAAAAACATTGCGAGTATAGGACGCAACGAGCATCGCGTTCCGCAAAACCCGCCAATCAAAGCCCCCCTCCCCTCTCCCTTCCTCCCATTATAGTTTCGTTTTGTAGAAATACGTCCATTTGGTGGATTGTAAAATCCCACTTTTTCATTTCCCCAAAGAGCATCATGCCCACTTTAACATTGTTTTTCAGCCAGCTTTCTAGAGCACACCTCATCTTTCCCACTCATCTGTTTAGCAGAAAAACGTCCAATTGTGGGCCATATTAGAATACCTATATTGAGAGGGCGCGGGCATATCGAAATATGGAGCTCTTTAGAGCCCAAAAAGGCAGCCAACTCTCTAATACAGAGAATGTACCTGTCAATCTTCAGATTTCAACGTCAAACCAAAGGATGTCCAAACATGTTCATAAATGATCGTTCTCCCGCCTCCCGCAAAAATTAGTAACTTGATCCAAAACCGATTCAGATACATGTTATGAAAACGACGGATCGTAACAATTATAATGTTAAATCACTCTGGATAATTTTAATTCCTAAGTTGACTGCCGTCTTAGGCCCTAAAAGCTCCATGACCTCACCTCAAAATTACCGACAGGGTATTCAAGTCCAAATAAGAGCATCCGAGGAGAATGAATTTCATTCTTCTACAGCGGTAATTTTGGAAGTTAGGGTATGGAGCTTTTATGGCCCAAAAGGACAACCAGCCTATGAACTCAAATTATCCGGAATTCTTCATTTTTACAATTGGACGTATTTCTGTGAAACGGAACTATGTGTATTATGACGTGAGTCATGTTATGCATATATCCTTATGGATCTCAGGGCTCATGTCTTAATGTACATAGCTCTGTGTTGTAGAAATACGTCCGATTGTTGCGACTTGTCGTTGGTGAAGTACGTATATGTGGCTTAGCTTTTGCGTAAATTCCCTGATTTTTGCGGAAAGACGCTCATTTATAATCTGTAAGGCTATTTTGGTTTGATATTGGAATTTGAAGATCGGCAGTAGCATTTTTCCAGTGTTCTCCGTGTTAAAAGTTTGGCTGCCGTTTTGGGCCCCAACGGGCTGATTATTGAAATTGATAGACAAAGAAGACAAAAAGGATGAGGCGGTTCCAGCAATTTGGCAACACCGGACCTCCTCCATTTAAATCTATTAAAACATCGATTCCTGTCGAGAAGCACCTGACCCTTCAAGAATCGATAAATTTCCATAGGTTTAAATGGAGAAAAGACAATGTTGCCCATTTGCTGGATCCGCCAATGATGGAGGGAACCTATTGGTGGAAGCGGGTGGTTGCAATGGACAAAGGACGTAGAAAATAGACTAACTAACGGCAACCCACGAGAGACCCGATGCAGTTGGTCCATAATTTACCCTTGTAGTCTATAAGAACCACCCATTTCAGCCAATAGGATTGCTCTATACCTCTTACGTTCTTTGTCGTATTCTTTGTCTATAGCTTTGTCTATAAATTTCAATAATCAGCCTGCAAGAGCTTCATATTTCAACATGTCCGTGCTCTCACATAAAGATACTCTATGACATGTTAAAGGCGACAACACGAAGCACGAAGCACATACGCGAGTTTCGTATTAAAAAGACAAAGCAATGGATAGGTAAAGGTGACAAAGAGTAAATGGAACGATCCTATTGGTGGAAGCGGGTGCGGTAGCAACGGACATAGGGCATAAGTAATAGACTGACTAACAGCAACCCATGAAAGACCCGATAGTTATTCCGTCATTTTCCCTTTTAGTCTAGTAGAGCAACCAACCGTTTGAACCAACCGGATTGCTGTATTTTCCTGTTTTTTTCTACGTCTATGTTTTTTGAGCCCCAGAATTTCAAAGTGTTCATGCTCTCCTACACAACACTCCACCCACACCATTTTTGGGAACCATTTCATTTTCAATTTTAGTCCGGGTTGCCACAAAATTTAGGAAATAATATTCCCTAACATTTCCCCGAATTCCCTGACACATGTTGGTGAAATTTCCTGACAATTGACGGTATGCCAGATGGTAAAAAGACATATAGATTTCGGGCAAACTTTGTCCTTCAAAGTGTCATACCCATTCTAGAAAGCAAATAAAGGTGACTAGATAATTATTCCCTGACATTTCCTGGTTTTCCCTGACTTATTAAAATTCCCGGATATTTCCCGGTTTTCGCGGTCTTCCCTGAATGTGGCAACTCAGCAATTTATCTTCAATTTTAGTGGTTATTTTTCACTTAATTTATGTTTCAATTTTTAAAATTTATTATTTGCAAACCCAAGATTTCACTGGGACACCCGTAGCGAATTCTCGGCGGCTGTGACAACGTCGCTGTGGAAGCACGCGCTTCCGTCGCTGCATGCAAGGGCGCCCGGCCCCGGCGCGATCTCCGAAATCGAATGTGGGCCGAAACAAGTTGGAGCCTCGGTATAAAGCATTTCCTAATTACGTGTAACGCCCATTTCGCATCATTTAAATCATAATTAAACCGATTATTCAGGGTGTCCGGGCCCCGGGCTCCATGCAATTACGGGGAAACATGCAATCGGCACAAGCTGCACGGCTAAAAAAGTGAGTGACGATCGTTGACTGCCAAATAATACTGTCGTGCTAAGGAAGAACGCCGTACCAACATTCGAGAGTTGCCAAATTTCCCTTGATAAAACGTGTGTTTTTAACGACATTCATCCGTATTTTTCCTGGAAATTTTCAGATATTATAGATTAAATTGCGAATAAAATTGTCAGAATATTTTGGGAACAAATAGTCGCAATTTTTCTTGTTAATTCGGTTTTTATCGAAGGAAACTTGACAACGTTCAAAGGCTCATACGGCGTTCTTCCTTAGCACGGCAGAATACCACACACGAATAGCATCGCGCAACGACTCGGCTCGAAAGTGCATCGAAAGCGTGCGACTCAGAAAATGAGATCCGCGAGGTGACAGGTTTGCTTAATATTTCAAACCAGGGGGTTACAGAGTTACACCCCCTGGCCAATACGCAGTCCTACTCCCACAGGGTGTCTCGCACCCTTTGAGTCCAAAGCCCGCTTCGTGGGTCACCGCGCTTCAATTTAAAGAGAGTGGGTTCATCTAGAGACTATATCACCAATAGCCGCAAAAATCACAAAAAACGGCTCGGTAGAAGTTCAGACCGTAGTAAAACGGTAGTTAAGCGTATTTTAACGTACGGATGTGAAGTTTGGCAGCTGAAGAAACGGATAGAGGATAACATGCCAAGAGCAAAGAAGACGGATTTCTGGAGGAAGTCGGCAGAATTTCTAGGAGGGACCGGGTCCGTAATGGTAGAGTGCGTAATATTGTGGAGGTCGCAAATGACATCGCATTCGACGTCATGACGAAACAGCTTGTCCGGTGCGATCACCTTAACAGGATGACGGAAGAGAGGCTGCCAAAGAACATGCTGGGTTGGATCCCTCCTGGGAGGAAACAAAGGAGATGCCCAGTTGGGTTCCTCCTGGGAGGAAACGAAGGTGAGGCCTGGTGAGAGAATGGCGACAGGGATTTTAAATCAAATGAGGGGCTTACTTCCTGAAGGATTGTGGAAGGACCGGGTACTGTGGCAATTAGGCGTCGCAGAGCTCCAGAGAGCGCTATGAAGCGACTCTGATGTATGTAGATCTTCCGAACGAATCGTGAAAGCAATGAAAATTTACATTGTTCAAATGGGAGAGTTCACAGCTTTATCGCGTAATGCAAAAAAAAACCCGCGGGCTGATAATTGATTTTGATAGACAAAGCGATATTCGAAGAAGATATAGGGAGTATGGAGCGATCCTTATGGTTTAAATGGGTGGTTCCTGTAGACTAAGGGAGAAAATGATGGACTAACTATACAGGGTCTCTCGTGGGTTGCCGTTAGTTGGTCTATTATATACCTTCTTTGTCCATTGCAACCAACCGCTTCCACCAATAGGATCCCTCCATATCCCTTTTGTCCTCTTTGTCTATAGCTTTGTCTGAAAATTTCAACAAGCACCCCGCAACGATGTACTGAAACATAGTTCCTTCCGTCCAACTTAACTTACCTCTAGCAAATTTAGGATGACCCCGAGTGAGTCATCTTTTTTTCTCCGCATCCTTTCCAATGTTTTTTCCTTTACATTCTTGTCTGTAACAAAACCAAGTAAAATAACTTTTGTAAGTAAATAATGAATGAATGAATGAATGTGGTGGTACATAGAATTTATTTGACTCCAAAGCATTTTTTGGCTCTAAGGCACCTGAGGTGAGGGGGTGGAACATAAACAATTGGGAAGACGAGGAAAGAAAATGGTACAAACAGAAAATGCCAGAGAAAGAATGATATAGAAATTATGGAAATAGTACGATAAGATGAGAAATTTAAATTTTTAGCTGTAGAGTATTAAAAAATTAAGGATTTTTGACTGCTCATCAATTTCAGTGGTATGAAGGTCAAAAGGTTCAGTGGCGTGGCGTGAATAGCGATGTATCGATTGTTATGCCATTTAAACCTATGGTAAAGAATAGGTTATTAAGGTGTTCGCTGCGAGCACCCTGTATATCAATCTTTTTCCATAGGTTTAAAAGGCATAACAATTGATATATCGCAAAGCACGCCACGCCACTGGAAAGGTTGAGTTTGAATGCGAAGCTGATCTCTTTCATTTTTAACAGTTTTGCATTATGAATGAATGAATGAATGAATAAATAAATGAATTTAATTCACCTTTCATTGGTATCATTCAAAGGTCTTTAGATTGAATAAAACAAAGAGAAGGCAGTGTTGTCTTTAGCCAAAGGGCGTGGTTAAAAAAAAAGAATCACGAGGCAATCGAAATACAGGATTTTTCAATGTGTCGCATGACGCAAAAAAAAAAATAAATAAATAAATAAATAAATAAATAAAAAGCGAGAAAAATTAAAAATCAAACGGACTTGCGAATTGACAAAGTTTATTTTATCATCAATTTCATCCGCGTAATATTTTTGGAGTTGATTTTCGCTGATACGGTGAACCTTAAATAAGGCGGTCACGGCACTCAACGGTCTCATATTGTATTTTTCATGTGTCCTTCACAAAGATTTGGTGGAAAAATGTCCCTGGATGAGAGAAGTGACGCAATTGGTGACGGCTACGTTTGGGGTGATGATTTATGATTTATTAATGAAAAAAGAAGCGGATCGCTGATTTTTGAAGGTCGGCAATCACCGAAAATAAAGATAATAATAACATTGATTTAAAAAGTTTGCAATTAAAACGTGTGCATGACAACTAACTAAAATTACAACTTATTTAATTAAAACTCCCATAAAAGAAGGAAACCTTGCAATTTTAATATTTGTAGTGAGGACGAGAGATTAGTCGGGAATTATTTTGTTAAATAAAAATTTTCTGAAATTTGAAAATTTACCGAACTTGCAACTTCGCACACAAACATTTCAGTGATTGTAACCAACTGAACTCACTAAATGGACCTTGGGTATTGAGTACGTCTGCATTATAAATGGTTTGCCTCGACAAAAAAGAAATGAAAAAATGTTCATTAGTAGGAAACCGTCAGCTGTATCGTGCCATACATCGGGTGAACCCGCGGATGATCTCGAAAATAAATAGGAGGAAATCTTAACAAATCGGGAACTCACTAAGCCACTGCGACAAAATACACCTGAATAAAATTTTTTGTCTAGTTTATGAGATACAATTTGCGCGAAGTGTCAAGTGTTAAAATTGTAATGTTTTTTCTAAAGTACGTATGGAGGTTCCTATTTTCCGTTCGTTTTGAATGCGTGCAGTATACTTGACTTAATCCAAAACTGAAATTGATTAAAATGATATAGTGTGTAATTGTTTCGTTTGAGTCTAAAGCAATTGAAATTGATTAAAACGATAGTGTGTGAAATTGTTTCATTTTAGTCTAAACCTCTGTTTAAGTTAGCGACTCTACCTTCGTGAAAATAAAAACCGGCGTTAGCGCGTGTATGGTTAAAAAGAAGGGGGATGCCTTTTCCCCCAAAAATTTTTGTGGGTATTCCTTAAAAATCATCGACGATGTTGGCATTTGTCGCTGGAGTAAATTTGTGCTACGACTTGTAAATCTATGTAAATGTTTGAAATGTGCAACTCCTCCCTGTAATGCGGCTATTCCAAGGTTGATAAAGAAATTTCTCCCTCTTTTGAACTGCAAAAATAAAAGACAGAATAGGTAAAATTTTCCATGGAAACAAACAAAAATTTCGATCCGCGGGTACCCATTTTCCAGTGATTTTCCGTGAAAGCGAACTCATATATTCTGCTGAGTGGCAACCGACCCCTCTAGTTTTTCAAAATTTCCCTTCTCTCCCTAAAGTTCTAGTTAACGCGCCGCCACTACGGGCCGATTATTGAAATTGATAGACAAAGCTATGGACAAAGAAGACATAGGGAGCATGGAGCGATCCTATTGGTTGAAATGGGTGGTTCCTATAGACTAAAGGAGAAAATGATGGACTAACTATCCGGGTCCCTCGTGCGTTGCGTTAGTTAGTCTATTACCTACCCCTTTTGTCCATTGCAACCACCCGCTTCCACCAATAGGATCCCTCCATATCTCTTTTGTCTTCTTTGTCAATAATTTTGTCTATCAATTTCAATAATCAACCCGCTGATGACAACAGACTGTCAGCGCAGCGCAGCCTACAGAACAGATCTGGCACTGAGGTCAGTCGTGATTTGCACTATTGGTACATGTGTGTGTTATTTGCACGCGACGACTTTACCTCACGTACTCTCGTTGTCACGAGCTATGGACTTGGAAATTTTTCGCCATTTTGGCTTGTTGACGACCTCATCAGAGAGCTTCATCCATGACGTCATACATGTAAGTGTATCTCGGAATGGGGCCTCTTTTCCTTCTATGAACCGTTGATGACGCCATCGGAGGATTCCATGAGACCACATGAAACCCCGTAATTGACTTCCTTCTCTTCCTCGGCTTACCCTCGTAGCCTTATGCGAAGGAGGTACTTCTTCAGGCTATACAAGGTTAGGTTAGGTTGGGTTAGGCCAAAGAGGTGTATTTACGCCCCTTTGGTTGGGAGGAAAGTGCCTATCTAAACTTTTAGAGTTCCGTAACAATCCCTAACGTACCTAGACTCTCTGTAATGTGTAGCACACTTATCCGAAACGATAACCATATGATCTGTATTCCAAATATGTCGTAAAGAAAAAATCACATAGTTTTCCGTCAAATTTTAACGCGATCGATCAAAATTGAACGAGACCCAATTTTTTACCGAAGTGCGTGTACTTAGCGCTGACCTCGATGACCGATATGTTTCGAAGGCAAGTGCCGGTTATTATTCTCACGAGGGTGTAATTTCAGCCATCGGTTGCAAATTAACGTCATACGGCGTTACGTAATGAGGGCATCGGGAGCAAAATGGACATTTCTTGGTTGCAGTGTTTCAGAATCTCCACGTTTAGTTTATGTTTTAGCGGAAACTAATGGGTGACTTCACTAAAATTTTCTGTTTTTATCACTGTAGAATCTCAAAAAATATTCGGTAAAAGTTTCGACGAATTGCATACATTTGCTATAATCATTATGGATGAAACGTTAGCGGCGATTTTGAGACACCACAAGCAAGAAATGCCCATTCTGCATCCAGCGCTTAAATTCTGTAAATGATTAAAGTCATAGCGGTGCTACAGGGTTATTCAAAAGTCACGCACCACTGACAATGAGGGGGGTGGCCATTTGAAATTTTTTAGTTGCCCCCCGCCCCCTCCCCCCAAGGGGATCAAAAACTGGAAAGTATCTAAAACAGTTTCCTCTCGATACTAGGAAAAACGTCTTAAACAGCAAATCGATATCATAATTAGAACTAAGGTTATGGCGAGTGGTGCGTGACTTATGAATAACCCTGTATATTCTTTTCTTTCATTTTTCAGTCGTCAGATTCTCTTCAGTTTGCTTGTCGTGGGCCCCGTTTTGTGCCTTGAAAATGGTGAGTTATTTCTTCATTCATCATCATTCACAAAAGAAAAGAAGGATTGCAGCTTTTAGTCGATTCCATTTTTTTTTATATTCCACTCGAGGGGTTGTCGGATTGTGCGATAAACATGAATATTTCACATGGGTTTGCATTGGGAAAAGTGCTGAAACAGCAACTCATCTGGCAACAGTAGAGTCTGGGAGGGGCAAGAGGCTGCCTTCCTGGGAAAACCCATGATTTAGCCGAAAATGTCATTAAAACAAATCGGTTCCGTTAGAAGCATCACAATAATACATAATAAAGCTATTTCCCATGTCAGAAAAAAATTATAAAAGATGCTGCAGAATCAGCTCTAGAAACACTCTCAGATTGATTCATAAAAAAAAAAATTGTGATGTGCAGATTCTCCATTTATGCAAGCATGTAGTAACGAGCGAAGATTTTTTATCACTGTTCTCGTGTAATCTAATATTGTAAGGATACACATTATACACTGGAAAGAAAGTCGCTTGGATCCAGGGTCCAGACTCTTAAAAACATTGACAAGAAAAAATACCCTTGATTCAATCCGATTATTCCTTAAATCGAAGAGCCGAGCCTCTTAATTTAGGCGGATTTCCTTTTATGTATGTATCAAGCAAGAAGTCCGATTGAATGGAGAGTATTTTTTCTTGTCAGTGGTTTCAAGAGTCTGGACTCAAGATCCAAGCGACTTTTTTCCAGTGTATTATACTTCCAAAAAGGTATTAATATTTATTTGGTTCACCTAACTAATTGGTAACAGTTCGAGAGTCGAAGCCAAAAACGGGTGAGGCGTGCACTAAGGACTGCCAGCTGAAGGGGTATATCCTCGTGAATGGAACGCAAATTTGGCTGACTAAACTCGGCGAAAAGCAATGCGATTGTCTGCTTACGGAAGAACTGCTTAACTACCTGCGAAAGAGCTTCGATGCCGACGAAATCAAGGAGTTTGAGGATCTATATAAACAGTCCGATGTTCTCGGCCGGACATGGTTGAAACGGAACAAGATCATCGTACAAATTCCGGGGACTGAATTATTCCCAGGTAAACGCAATACTTCCAAGGATACTTTATATTTTATTCATATTTTTAATTTAAAGAAGAAAAATTCAACTTTGCTGCTGGACCATCACTTCTCAGAGAGTAGATGA